GTTTTCATTTAGCAGATTTTTGAAAGTACATAAATGCCTAACCTCCATTAAATTTAATATACTGACTGTAAACATAATACACTATCAGCATTTGGCAATGAGAGTAAGAATGAGTACTTCACAAGCACTTTAATCTTGAAAATTACATTTATTTTTTATTTTTGATGGCATACCTGCAACACAAAAAATTAGAAGGAGAAAAAATGCTTCAGACACAGAATTTCTTTGGGGTTTTAGTTCATTTTGTTTCTGTAACACTAAATGTGTAATTGTACCCTAATACCACCACACAAAACAGAATTCAGCAATTTCAAACAGGGTGGAGCTGAATGTAAAAGCAAGCATTAACAAAGTTTTATGAAAAAATGAAAACATTCTTTGATTGTGATACCCTAAGCACAATAAACGAGTACATCATTTCCCTAGGGAGATCATTATGCAATTTATCACACACAGATAGTAACCCCAGTAACTACCATCTTTACCAAATATACAGAGAAGTGCAGAGGAGGTAGAGAAGAGAGAAAAGCAGTCAAGCAGTATTTAAGCTATAATATACTGAAGAGCAATCATATTAAAAAAAGAATTATGCGTAAACAAGTGACAATCTTATAGATCTGCACCTGTGTTCAGCAAAGCTTCCTTGCCCTCTTTGCCACTACCTGCCTGAATACAGGTTACCCTTTGCATCCGTATGTTCTATTTACTTCCGAAACTTGAATCCCTCTGAAGCAGACTTAACTTACAAGCAGAGTTCTGACACAGTCTCCCATCTAAGGGATACTTATTTACAATACTAATCTTATCTGAATAGCAAGTGATATCACAGTCAACACGACCAGCCACTGAATAAAATATATTAACGAGAAAAAGCATTTGAAGGAGCGCAACTGAACATTAGTTTTGTATGTGCCCACACACCATTGCTATTCATGAGAAATATTTATATAAAGCGAAAGAAGCTGAACAAGATGACACATCATGCAGCATATGTCCACAACAACTAGAAAGCAGCCAAGGATCAAAATTTGATGAGCTGAGGGACAGACCCCGTGTTACCTTCTGAAAGTGCAAAAAGGGAGATAATTTCAAATGTTCAACAGCATTTCATAATGTTTATAGTGCTCCTCCTCTAAGTCAGAAATACAGTCTGGATACTTATAGCATACTCACTGTTTTTCCAGAAATGTGTTTGCATACCCTGAAATCTAGAACAAAAGCTAGCTTTGATTTGCAGACATTTAAATGCTTCAATCTGCACTGAATTATACCAAACTGAGCTGTTCTATGACCTCAAGTAAAAGTAAAAAAAAACCAAAACAACAACAACAACAACAAAGCCACATTACAGCCACTAAAGAAACTGTAGGATGTACAGAAAGACCAGACCATGGGACAATATGATGTAGAGCCAGCATTACATTATCTAGCTTAGATACTGCTAGCAGTAAGTACACAGTCATATGAATCGCAGCTTAAAAACTCAGCAGAGCAGCAAGGATTGGTGGAGATTAGTAGTGGTCCTTACTAGCTAAATCATTATCACAATGCAGACATTATAAGGTATACACATTCAGAATAAGGGAACTGAACTGCAATCCATAGGCTGTATTGCAACACATACATGCATTTTCACTTTAAGTATTCTGTAGGTAACAATTCAATGGAACTTGCAGCAAAAAATTAATCATCTGGAGGACACTGAACATTTGTTGAAATGGTGAGAAACTACATCATCAGTAGAGAGACTTATAAGATAGGTACAGCATTAAGAAATACTCTCTGCCCAAGCAACAATTTCCTTAGAAGTCACCACTTGTTGGAAGAAGGTGTTCTGTGCAGCTGTGGGACACAGATGTGTCACTTCATTGGGCTAGGGGAGGCTACAAGCGAAGCATGCGTTCTATGGACAGTACATCAAGACCAAAGCAAAAGCAGCAGTAGAGAAGTCACATGGACAGACTCTCTCATCACACAAAATATCCCCAAGTACTGTGACCAGTACAAAACTTTGCTTTTGCATTTTGAGCAATACCATGAATGTAACAAGCACTGAGACAACCCAAGAAAGGCTTTGTTTTCTGAAGACAATCTTCACATGAGATAACTGCAGATGACTTTGTTAGTTAAATAAATGCAAATCCTTAAACAGAACAGGGTTTGATTTATTACACATTGCTGAAGGAAACAGCTCACATTAAAATGCTCTGTCAATAATGAGCTCGTACAAATAATTTGATAATGTCCTTACAAGACTAGGTTGTTTTGTTTAGTTTAGAAATCCTAGCTAAATTCATCAAGCCTTGGTGTCATTCATACACAAAACCAAGACCTGTTGTCAGATGATTTCAAAATTTAAGATCTATCCCTAAACACATTAACAGCAGCAAAATTATTATGCCACCATATTCACTTCTACTAATCATTTCTTTCTACTTTATGTTTCCTGCTTGCTAATTGCTTATTGTTTGATGAGTAAGCATTTCCCTTGAACACTGCCCTATAATGGCTTATGGTCATTATAAAAGTAGAAGCAAAGGACTGGACAGAACTA